TTTTAAAATGAAGGTGTGGCAACCAACCCACCCCCACCACCAAACCCATTGGGGGATAAGCAAATCGTACTAAATTGTACAAATGAGATTGTATGAATTCATACACATTAGCCACTATATCAAAAAGTTACGAATTGCTGCGAGATAGCGTTGGTTTGTCATATTGATGGTGGTAAGGCGTTCCAAAGCCTGGGGGCCACAATGCAAAAACCAAAATCTCCCCAACATTTAAGTCTTGATTTGGGAATGTACAGCAGATCCTGATTGGAGGATAAAAGGGAAGGTAGTACAGTGTCAGTAGCTGAGGTAAACACGAGTCGTGCCAATATGATTTATGGGTGGTTCTCACTGAAAGTAAGTGTATTATTAGCCAAAGTATGAGAATGCAGTCTTCCGTAGACATTAGCATACAAATAAACCTGATTTCATCACAAGCAAACATAATTTAACTGAAAACACTTTTGAACGCACTTGTAATTTTTGTCTTTGTGCAAGCCATTCCTGTAGAGCAGATTGGAATTTAGCAGCTGATCAAGGCTGCACTGAACATTCAATTGATTGCAAGACTGATCACACCGTTGTGGTTGGATTCGTCAAAAATTTTAACAAAAAAATAATAATTTAAAGTTGATCCTAATTTATTTACAGCAATTCAAGAAGATGCAGTCGATCACTTAACTAAAGCAAGAACTTGTGTTTCTTCATAATCGATCAGGAGCACATCAATGTAATCTAATCTTGCTGTCATCTTATTTCTTCCTTTATTCATGGGCAGAGACTTCTGTAAATATTCAGCTGGATGTTAAATAGAATTATGTGTAAACTAAGTTCAGTAATGCATTACAAAATTATGTAGTAGTGTGTAAGTTTTTACTTAGTGGCCATATAGGCCATGTTTAAACTTCCTTAACTGCTGCTCAGTACTTAGAGTATTCGATGCAACTGGCACAGAGTTCCACTCTGGTAAGATATAACAAAAGCAAACTCTGGCTCAAACAGGTTTACTGAACACTGTTGCCTGGTCTGACGAGTCTTGATTTCAACTGCCACATTTAGGATCAAATTTTAGAGTTAACTACCTGAAAGCATGGATCCATTCTACCTTGTATCAATGCTTCAGGCTAGTGATGAAAAAGGTGGTGTAATGGTGTGGATGATATTCTGCTAGTACATTTTAGGCCTCTCAGAACTAACAGGGCATCATTTGAGCTAAACAGCCTAATTGTTGTTGCTGACCAATTGCATACATTTATGACCACACTGTATGCGTTTCGTGATGGCTGTCTCCAAATAAACCAGTGTAAGAAGCCTCAAACAATCTTTTAGTCAATAAGCTCTAAATTCAGTAGATCTAAATCCAATAGAAGTTTTGGAGTTAACTACCTAAAAAGATGAATCCATTCTGCAATGCTTCAGGCTACTGGTGAAGATGGTGGTCTAATGGTGTGGTAGATGTTTTGCTAGTATATTTTAAGCCTCTCAGACCCAACAGAGCATCACTTAAGCCAAACAGCCTAACTAAGTGTTGTTGCTGACCACTTGCATACATTTATAAACACACTGTACCCATTCTGTGATGGCTGTATCCAAATAAATATGTGTAACAAATCTCAAGTAATCTCAAACTGATATCTTTAGCTTGGCGATGAGTTTACTAAAGTCAACAAGCTCCATAATCAGTAGATCTCAATCCAATATCCATATTATCCCTATTGTGAGATTTGTCAGCAAATCTCCAACCAAAGTATGAGAGAGATATTTCCAGCATTTTTATTTTATTTGAATCTACTTAAGGCAGATCTGGTCGCAAAAGGAGGACCAAATTGGCATAGCCATTAGGTTTAATAAAGTGTACCTGAGACATTTTATAACTAGCCTTACAAAAGCTTCCTCTGCACATTTAAATTAGGATATATTTGTATTAAATGCAAATAGCAGAGTTAGGCAAATCAAATGAGTCTTTTAGTAGAATATGAGAACATTAATGTGTGTGCTCATGTGTGTCAAATAGGCTCAGAGCACTCAAATGTTATTAATGCGGAAATTCTCTTGTTTTTGAAAATATGCATGTGATGTTTTGCATTACTGTTTTACAGCAGACATTCATAGCCCGTTATTTGAGCAGAGTAAATGAAATGCTCATTCCAAAATGGAAATTAATCAATTTACTCGTCTCCAACTAAAATGAAAACAGAAAATATGAATAAAACACTAACTGAATCAATAAAATCTGCAATAGTTACTCAGTAATACTAACACAGCACTTATTCACAATTATTCATTCATGTTAGCTTGAGTCAGTAATGATATAAAAACAAATATAAATAAATCAACTCAGCAAATAATGTAATGAGCCCAAGCTAACAGTAATAATGCTTTAAATATATTGTTAGATTATTTTAATGCAAATACCTAATAATAACTTAGTGTAAGTAGTTACCAATAAATTAAACATTTTACAAACGTCTTTTGTCCTCAGTAGAATAAATAGTGTTTACAAGGAATGGTTGGACTATGACGCTGAGATGATTTTATTTTGTAATATACTGCAATGCAATGTGTATGACTAGCTTACAAATAAGCTCCAAACATGAGCACATCAGCACATGGCATGAAATTTCCTTATCAAATCAGCTCTCTCTCTGTTCAGACTTCATCCAGCTGCGTTCAGCCTTGAGAAAGAGAGAGAGAGAGAGAGAGAAAGATTTGCCTCTCTACAAAAACCAGAATATTCTTTTCAGAGTTAAAAAAAAAAGACTTTTGAGAAATAATGAATTCCTGATCTGAATTGAAAATATATATATATCATGACCTTGAGCAAATGAACTTACTTCATTATCAAAATGGCTAATAAGAGTTGAATTGTGGACTAGATTTATACAGTACGTTTTCACAAACCACAAACCTGTTATTTCTCCCCTGTTCTTTCCCCTTGTCATTAAATTATTATGCATAACTACATTGCAATCCATTGATTTCTGCTTTGCAAAACTGCCTCCTAGTGTTGTTTTGTGGTGTTGCACATTGAGATTAGTGTCAGTTCAACAATTTCCCTTCAGCAAAGCAATATTATCTACTGGTCAAACAAAATATGTACTATTTTAGTGTATTAAATTTAAAAGTCTTTGTGGAAAAAAAGAGCAAAATATGGTTGAAATAATTTTCATTCTCTAAAAATGTGCATATATTTGGGCAAATAAGAAAAAAACATACTACTGATAAACCTTTTTTATTAAATACATATACAAGTGCATAAATAATTTGATCGTTTTTTTGAACCAACAGAGCATAATTTAAGCCCAACAGCCAAACTAAGTGTTGTTGCTGACCACTTCCATACATTTATGACCACACTTTTGTGATGGCTGTATCCAAATAAACCAAAGAAGGAAGAAGCCTCAAACAATCTTTTACTAAAGTCAGTGGGCTCCATATTCAGTAGATCTAAATCCAACAGAGATTTTGGAGTTAACCTGAATGCATTTTTCCATCTGCCTTGTACCAATGGTTTAGGCTAGTGTTGAAGATGATGGTCTAATGGTGTGGATGATGTTTTGCTAGTACATTGTAGGACTCTCGGAACCAATCAAGCATTGTTTAAGCATTAAAAGTGAAAATGCCTTGCTGACGAATGGTTAAACAACACTGTAAACCATGCTGGGTTTAACACCATTCCTTCCTCTTGTCCCAACACAAATTAAAGTTAACTTAATTTTTTTTTACAGATTTAAGTAAATTGAACAAAAATGTATTAATTTGTCCCAAAAAAAATTAAGAATTGTGTTGTTTCAACTCATATTAAGTAAGTAGTTTAAACAAGCAGTCAAATTTTTTTTAGTGAAGAAGGAAAAAATTGTGGTAAACTATACAGAGAAAGTTAAAATAAATCTAGGTAAAATATTTGCTTCTGCTGTGTTTCTAAATATTCTGTTTTTATCTGATTTATGTTTTGTATATAAACTACCGAAAAAACAAACTTGTTCGCCTTAAATTTTTGCTGAATCAAAATAAGCTTAGAAGTCCATTGAACTTATAAAGTTAAACTGACTTAAAACAATTAAGTTAGAACATAATTAACTTAGTTTAATGTTACAATGACCTTTAAACATATGCTGTCAGGAATAATTGATCATTTTACTAAAATACATTTCAGTAACTATCTAATGTTAAATCATGGTAAAAATGCTTGACAGCAGTTATTGTTTTGGTCCTGAATAATGAAATAATTAAACAAATTAACAGTGACATTTTCAGCAAAAAAACAAACAAAAACAAAAAAATCCGTGTAACACACTGATTGTTTTGATGCATGAAAACACTTTTCTTTTTTGCCTCCTATATGTGAAATGGTATTTAAATACGTTATTAAGCCCATCACAATATGTATTATTTGTCATACGATATATTGCAACAAAATATATTTTGGTAAAGATAGTCATTTTGAGACCATTTTATGCCAGTCATTATATAATGCCAGAATGACTATAGAATATCATCACAATGAAAGTGCGCTCTTCTAAAAAGCATAATATCTCATTTGTAAGAATATTTGATTTAATTATAGACATTTTAACTATTTTATAATTGGACGTTGGAATCAGAATGTGAAAACGGATATCCTAAATGGATATCCTAAATCCTAAATAAATAATAATAACGGTTAACAGAAAAAGTCCAAGATAAAAAGTAACAGAGGCTGCGATATCTGCTACCAGATTGATTTTCAGTTATCAGACTCCCACATGAAAATATACTAAAGTCATTTATTTATAGTAAATACTTCCATACTTTTTTTAAACCATACTGACACTGACACCTCCGATAGAGATAGAGCTGTTGCACAATCAGCTAAATTGTTGCTAGAACTGTATTTTATGTATGCGTGATATTTATTGCATCACTACAAATGATTGAGGTCATGTCCACGTGTAGTGCGAAAAGTCGATATATTGATTTTTCCGACAGGCGTAACCGTCATTATAACAAAATCCTCTTTTTATAATGAAACGTTTATTCATAAATATCTGCCCCACAGAAGAGAACCACAATATCACAGTTCAATATAAATAACCACATATACGCATTTCAACTTCTTTTTCTCCCCTTTTTTGTGGACATATTTCAACAAGTTCTTATATAACACAGGTAAAACACATCAGCATTGTTCAAGAGTTCCTTTAAATCAACATAGTACAATACCATTTACACATAGAAATGCCATAATAGTGTAATATACATTGAATCTTTAGCAACACCGACCCATGTAGATCATTCTGCATATACATTTCAATCAAGTTGGGATGTAAAACGTGTCGACTAAAGCAGGATCAGAAATGGAGTAAAAGTTGAAACATTCCAACTATCCTAAATCTGCTAAATATAGACTATAGATGAGGGAAAAGTGCCTGATGATGTACTGGTAGAAGATAACATTGTCATATAACAACCTCATAATAATAATAATAATAATAAAATAATAATAATAATAATAATAATGAGATTCATCTGCAATCACAGTGAACTAAAACCTTTAAGCAGCAAGTGCAATGACGATATGTTTTACAGTGAAAAGAAGCTCATATTGTGACACCGACGTGAGAAACTAGCTTCATAAATGTGTCACCCAAGAATAAATGTGTTATCTTGAAAGATCATTCAGTAAAGGTTGAGTATTTGCGGTCAAGGTTTTAGAGTTGGGAGAATTTTATAGAAAGTCAAATGAGAGCTGGATATATTCATATGAAGTTCAACAGGGTAACGCAAGAGAGAATATTCCATTTTAAATGGCTGCTCCAGGCATACAATCTTGTTTAATAAGACACAGGTTGTCAATGCCACCTTAAATCAACCTCTTCTTAATATTTGATCAGTAAGAAAACACATAGCTGAGTCTAAACATGTGGCTTGAATAAGCATAACAAAATAGATGTACTGGTGCATTTTTTTCCAACTGAAAAATATTCATATACAAGTATTCAGTGTCATCTTAATTTATACTGACTATAAAATAAATAATATTTATAAGAGACAGCAGGAAATGAGCCATTTAAAGGCACCAAACACCGTTCTACGATACCTTGTGAAATGAATAATAAATACAACGTAAATATCCAACTGAACTGAAGTAGTCATGTCACCTTCCGTCCTCAGCACCAGCAGGACTTTCGAGTGTCGTCGCTAACATTACACAAACCTTCCTGCTCCTCCAAATCAGCCAGATTCAACTCGTCATTCAATGATCCTCCCAGCAAATCAAGATCCTTCTTGTTGGCTTGTAATACTAATTCAGCCAGTCGGGTGAAAGACTGGAAAAAACAAAAACAGTTGAATTATTAGCCCTCCTGATTTTTTTAGCCATCCTGTATTCCACCTTGTTCTGTAGACAATCAAAAAAATATAGCTTAAAGCGGGATAATAATATTGTTCTTAAATTGGTTTAAAAAAATTAAACACTGCTTCTATTGTAGCTGAAATAAAACAAATAAGACTTTCTTCAGAAGAAAAAATATTATAGGAAATACTGTAAAAACATCTTTGCTCTGTTAAACAATATTTGAATGAGAAAAAATATATATAATTAATAATTTCGAATTCAACTGTAAATAGTCAGATTAGCTGTAAATAATTAAAATGTAAACCCAAAATTATCAGGATCCACTATTCTTTAAAAAACTGATTGTAGGTTACAGGTATAATGAGAAGAGAAATGTACCTCTGTAATGTTGTGGTTGGTAAAGGCACTTGTCTCAAAAAAGTCCATTCCATAAGCTTTGGCAAGCTAGAGAAACAAAAAAGATGGCAGAGAGATGTCTGACGGAAGTCTTTAAAGTGACTGTTCACCCCAAAATTAGTTTGCTGCTAATTGGTTTACCCTCAGTTGACTTAAGATGAATGTGATTTTTCGTCTACATTAGAAAATTAAAGAAGATTTTTAGCTGAAACCGAATCTTTGGTGATTCATTATATACAATTCAATTGCGACCATTTTATGAGTCACAAAACATACCCAAAAACATCTACAGGTGGAATACAAAATTAAATCCATTAGTCATGACCAAGGCTTATGATGGAATCATGCATAAGCTGTAAAAAAAATAGTTAGTTTAACAGGTATAATAACAAAAAATACTTTGTGTGCTTTTTTTTAAAAACATGGTCAAAGTAAACAAATGTTTCAACCAAATTAAAGTGCAAAACAATTAAAAAGTACAAAATAGGTAATGCTTTACAAAAAAGTCTCAATTATAAATGTTAGTGAATGGATTAAAATCAACCTTAAGAAAAGGCCAGACTTATTACAGTTAACATGATAATATTAGTTACAAAATTAATTGTATAAGTTACTTAACTTCATTTAATAAAAGACTTGTAATCAGATTATGACTATGATTGTAACGCGTTATTAGGCATTAAAATCAGCTAAGACTAATTAAAGCTTTTGTAGATATCTTGAGTTTAGTTAAATTAACTCATGTTACCTACTGGGGCCTTACTGAACAGTTTTAAATGTACAATAGCCCTTTAATTAGTCACAGAAATTTCAATTAATATTTCAACATGTAGTAGGCCAGATTAACTTGTAAAAACGTGTCATGTTTGAACTATTAATCTACGCAAATCAGACTCCAAGCTTTTGAAACTGCAAATATTCTTTAAAAGAACTCTAAAAGTGTAAATAATTATTCACTTTATTTTGAAGTGCTCACAATATCAATATTGTTTATGTTAATTATCATTATTCAATTGTTGAAGATCGGCATATGTCTAGTCATGATAACAGCTCTGTGACAAACTAAACATTATTTACAACTTTATTACTGAACAGCAAACGGTCCTGATCGTTATTTATCATTTGTTTTGTTTTGCCTGAATGTTTTTACTCTCAATGTGAGTAGCCACTTCTTTGCATTTTATTGCTCACTTGCCACACATTGCAAGCTCATTTTACATGATTTCTGAATAAATTCTACAATGATGCTTCCATGCAATTTATTAGTTACCTTATTTTTTGTTTGTGAATGAAATTGGCATAAAGTGACTAGCCAGGTGAGATTTACAGAGTACAGTAGGCTTGTCATGTAAGAAAATGGTAACGTTAATGACAGAAAAAGCCCACAGGAAGGAAGCATTATTTATTTACCTTATCTCCCTGTTCTGTAGCTACTTGTCTCTTCTCTTGTTCATCAGATTTGTTCCCAACAAGTATCTTCTGCACCTTTTCAGGGGCGTACTGATCAGAGACACAATCAAACAGAAGATTCAACTATTGCACTTATTTTTTTACAATTTGTTTTAAATTCAAATGTGAAATTCCGCATTTGCATTGCGGCTCTTAAAGGCAACCCCTTTATGTATTGTTGAAAGTGAAAAGAGTAGAAGAGGAAAAAGAGAGGCGGTGGATCCTGAATGAAGGGATATAAATATGGATCAGGTTATATTTAGTTCCAGTAATAGAGATGGATATGCTATAAACTGCACAGCCTCACCTCATCTACATCACTGGCCCACTTCATGATGTGCTGGAACGAGCGCTCGCTTGTGATGTCATACACCAGAAATATACCCTGTTGATACACAATCAGTTTCAATCCACCCATACATTGTAATGAGTGTAAATAGACAGCAATAAGAATCCCTTTTAGTCTCGAATCCTTTATTAGATCATCATTACAACTCTTCCGCCAATGTAGTTTGAGTGCTGGTTCAGAGCCAGAGGCTTTAAATTGGCTCTGTCTTTTAACAATTTAGGCACCTACTAGAACCAAGAAATGTGTTCCTAAGTAGCACCAACAGAAACTTTTGACTTTTCAGCCATTCCTAACAAGTAATTTGTTCTTAAAATAACAATGAGCTGCGCAAACATGCTGGATTTGCCATGTTTGAATGAAGTTGTTTGATGAACAAGTCATGAACATCAATAGCAATGCAATGTCTGCCATTGTTGGTGTGTTTTGCAGTGTCCTAACTCACATAAATAGTTTAGTCCCAATTTTCATACTATCCATCATAAATAGTGGTCCGTAATCAGAGTATTGCATAGATACACAGATGGTCAACTATTTTCGGTAGAAATTTAAAGTGCAAAACATATTCATTTAATGTTATCTGCATTACATTTCATTTGCAACAACACTGTGAACTTTAAATTGACACCTTTGGTAATTAATGTTATATGCACAATTATGCAAAGATATGAGGAGTTTATTTTACATGAAAGAGGAGAAAATGGCAGATTTACATGCTACATCCTTCTAATAGAGAAGGAAATTAATTCTAAAATAAATGTGGAGGATGTGATTGACAGGTCATGTAACTAAGCAACAGAACGGTGTATGATGAAGTAGTGTGTCCCAACGCGTGTTTACTCCCCTGTTACACACTCAAAAGTATGTGTGTATATATAAACACATTCACACATACAAGCACGCATAGGACCACATGACCCTGAACCAAAAAAATAATAATAAATAATAATAAATAAATAAGCAGTGAACAAAAAACGGTTCCATGGTTGTATGGCTTGTTAGGATAGGACTTGGGATACAACTATTAGAACATTTAATTTGTCTAAATTAAGTTCTTACCAATTGCCAATTACCAATCAACTATTACATTTGGATATATTTATGGTAGGACATTTACTAAATATCTTGATGGAACATGACCTAATATTCAAATTATTTTTGGCATAAAATAAAATTCATAATTTTGACTCTTAACTTTTTGGATTTTTAGACTGTAATATAGTAACATCATGCTCAGACTGACAAATGCTTTAAAAGCTCTTAAAAATGATCAATGCCTTTACAGAATTTATTAAACCTTTAAAATCAGACTCATAAAAGGCAGTGAACTATCCTGATCAAGTAATTCGAGAAAACAGAGCCGAGTGACTGAAGAAAATAAGCAGAGAAATGAGAACTACAAGTGAGACTGCATGTTGCTGGGTTATTTCTGACATTTTGAAGAGTCTCTAGATGACATTTGTGAATTATCAATGCATATTACCAATCAGCCATTACATTTTGATATATTTATGGAAGGAAATTTACAAACCATCTTGATGGAGCATGACTTAATATTCAAATTATTTTTGGCATAAATAAAATTCATATTTTGATTAGTTAACTTTTCTGATTTTGACTGTGATATAGTAATAATGTGCACCTTTTGTAACGCTGCTTTGGACAATAATTATTATGGAAGGCGATATGCAAATAAACTTTGAATTGAACTCATAATGTAATTTTGTCTTTACCCACAAATATAGCTGTGCATAATAAGACTGTTATTGTCATCCTGGATCTCTCTCTCTCACTAACACACTCACACACTCTCTCACACACACACACACACACACACACACACACACACACACACACACACACACACACACACACACACACACACACACACACACACACACACACACACACACACACACACACACACACACACACACACACACACACACACATATATATATATATAGAAGTCAGAATTATTAGCCCCCCTTTTAATTTTTTTTCTTATTTAATTATTTCCAAAATTCTATTTAACAGAGCAAGAAAATCTTCACAGAATGTCTGATAACACTTTTTTCTTCTAGAGAAAGTTTTATTTGTTTTATTACCGCTAGAATAAAAGCAGTTTTTAATTTTGTTATCCATCTTAAGGTCAAGATTATTAGCCCCTTTAAGTTAAATATTCTTTTGGTAGTCTATAGAACTAAACCATCGTTATACAATAACTTGCCTAATTACCCTAACCTACCCTAGTTAAGCCTTTAAATGTCACTTTAAGCTGTATAGAAGTGTCTTGAAAAATATCAAGTAAAATATTATTTACTGTCATCATGGCAAAAATGAAATAAATCAGTTATCAGGGGTAATAATTCTGACTACAACTGTATATAGGGTGTATAAGAAGACAAATTGGGCCACAGCATTTGTATTTGGTGCTTCCATGCTAGCCAGGGTTTCTGCAAGTCTCATCAAGTCAAATTTAAGACTTTAAGTGGCTTTTTAAAATTATTATTTATAAAATATCAGACTTTATGAGCTAAACACCAGGGGGGGTTTATTGATGGAAAAGATTTTTACTTTCTTCATTAAAAAAAACAAAAACACTGTTAGTTATTTCTTAACCACATATTTTAAATTATGTGTCAAAACATGCATACTCTAGTTGTTGAACACATTTTTCAACATAACATTTCTTTTAAAAAGTTTTTAAAATCTAAATATATGCACAACCGTCTGTCTAGGTCAGTGTTCCCGCCATAAATACATGGAGAACATTTAAACAAATGATATTGTAAGGAAGAGAATTTAACCATATTGGCAAAGAGAGTTCTGAGTTTTTGTTAAAACTTCTATTGCAATGTATTATTGGTGATTGGTTGGCCTGATTGGGTAACTTCAAATGGATATAAGAAAATTAAGACCTGTTAAAATTATTTAAGACATATAACACAATATTTTGGTAAATGTGATTTGTAAATGTGTGACTTTTCAACACCTTCAATTTTGTTTTTGCTATTTAGGACATTAAGTTTTTTTAGGACCCTGCGTACACCCTGGCTAGCATTGTCAGATCTCGCTCTGTGTGCAATTATCTAGCCATGGAAAAGCAAACTAGTTCTTAAAAGGCACGCAAATCAAACCAACTCCAAACTTACAATAGCACAAAAAGAGAGTATATGACTGAATCGGTTACTGAATCTTTGAAAGTCACCTGTGCTCTTCTGTAGTACTGCTTAGTGATGGTCTGATATCTCTCCTGACCCGCTGTGTCCCTGTAGATATAAAGAAACATTCGATTAGTAGAACGACCTGACTAAATGCTGTTATATTATCATCACACACTCAAAAAAACATACCATATCTGTATCCGTACTTTAATGCCATCTATCTCTAAGGTCTTCATTTTGAAATCGACACCTAGAGAAGAAAATAAAAAACATTTCAGAAGGATTTTAAATGTTTTAGCATGAACACAGATCTATGTGTTATCGACTCAAATCATCTGTAAATTTCATCACACTTTATGAATGCTCTAAACAAAAAGCCTTAAATATGATCGATGCCATCATGGGAGCTTGATAAACATTGAAATCAGACACATAAAAGGCAGTGAATTGTCCTGATCAAGTGATTTGAGAAACACAGCCGAGTGACTGAAGAAAATGAGCAGAAATTGTGAAAAGTGAGAGATGCAAGCAAGGCCGTTGGTGGGTCATTGCTGACATTTTGAAGAATACAGAGCGTCTCAAGATGACATGTATTAATTATCAAAAGCCAAATCTTGCGAGTTAATTTATTTTAAGTTTAATTAAACCACCTGAATGTAAATGGCACGTTACAAGTAAACACAATCTTGGTTAAGGTACTGAGAAAATTATTTGTCAAAAGAAGCAAAACTAAAACTTAACATGCAATATGGGTTTTACTTTACTATGCAAAATAAATGCAAAGAAAAGCAACAGCTCACAAGAAACTCATTTATATACATTGACTGCAGTATAATAGGTTATTAATAATTGATGCTTTCTCTTTTGTATTTGATTTGCAGCCATGCTCCTGCACATATCATCATGTTTCACATTTAACTGAAGCGCAGACCACACACAAATCCTTCAGTCACACTGTTACCAACTTTGTAACATGATTTGTAAGATCTACAGAAAACTTAACATCAATATGTTTATAGAAATAAAACAATTTTAAAATTTCAAGGCTGGATATTATTGCCGCTTTAGGGAATAACCACATAAAGGAATTGTGTTGAACGGACCCTGTATTTTTTACAGTGTGCACTGTAAAAAAATGCTGGGTTCCACACAATTCCCTTATGTTGTCCCAACACAAATCAATTAATTGTTTTTATAAATTTAAGTGCAGTGAACATAAAACAATCACTTTGTCCCCATAATTACCTTAAGAATTGTGTTGATTCAGGTCATTTTAAATACGTAGTTTGAAAAAGCATTAAATATAATTTGAGTTTGTAACAAAAAATATAATACAAAGTGACATACAAAATATATAACACAAAACCAGCAAAAATTAGATGTTAACTTAGATGTAGGATTATTTTATGTTTATTGACTTTCTAATTATTTTCATGCAATTATTTTCTAAATATTTTCTAATTATTTTCATTACTTTCGATCATTTCATAGAGCTTGACATACAACACAAAGCAGAACAGACTTAATCAAATCCATTGCTAAAACATTATTATCTTTGTCCTGCTGTTTTCTCAACAACTTGATCTCATTTGCTGGAAGATGTTATTCATAATCTGGCTTATGTTAAAATTTATGGATTTTTTTTTAACTGCAAACAGAATTCAATGTCCTATTAGACATACAGGACAAAAAAGAAAAAGCATTAACAATTAAAAACTCTAGCCCAATTGTTTTTTATGATCGCCTCCGACCACAGGACTGGAATTGGAAATTAGCCAGCTAATACTGGCATATTTACAGTAATGCAAATTAGCATGCTTTGTCCTCTTTAATCAAGATTTGTTTGCAAAATTTCAAACAAAATGATTTAATGTTCCAAATGATTTGAAGTGCTTCTTTTATCTTCATATGCAAGTCCCTTAATAGCATCAGCTAAGCTGATGAATGTAAATGTACATGCAAAATAAGAATAAAAACACCAAGAATATCTTATAATTTCCAAATAATTATTTACATGTGAAGGTAAAGCGGAATGGTAACTGTTGATAATTATACTTGGTGACTTAATCATTTGTCAATAAATCTGACAAATCTTTTGAACTGATAAAAAGTTGACAACGTAGCATGTAATGACCAGAGTAACAGGGGCTTGGGTGCAAAAAAATCCCCTCAAATTAAAGATAAGTGGGCATTACCCACACAGGTAAACTAAACTATCTAAACTAAACCAGTTAAACCAACGATATCTCACGGCAAGTTGGGTTTTGGTGGATCTTACATTTTTGTACAACTTCGCTCATACTGGAATTTGCCACTAAACTGACAAAACAAAAAATACTGTAGTTTTCTCATGAAATCAGGCTGGTTAAACTACTAAACTTCAATTAGATTGTAACTTATGCAATTCCTTGCAGAGTTAAGGCTTATACGTAGTGCCAGACAGAATCTACTGACATTTTTAAAAACAATATATACATAATAAATAATATATACATTTATTTTTGCGAAGAATTTTGTTTAAAAAAAAAAAAGCAGATTTATGCACATATTGTAACAAAAAAAATGTATATATGAAATAAAAAATAATAGCTTTTTAACTTTTAATGTTTACAATGCAAATCCATCCATATCCACTTCTTTGGTAAACTAAACAAATCTCTCATGTAATATCTACTAAAAAAGAAAATATTACTTCACAAACTGTATTGTAAATATATTGTAAACATTTTCATATTAGCCAAAAATATTACAGAAATTAATAAAAAATGTATTAAATATACATTTACACACATTTAAACAAGTAAATAATTAGACTCAATGATGGGCTAAAAATCTACAGATTTCTGTTTCTACGTTTCTATGCGCAGATTCCATGTGGGCCTACTTATAAGCAATTAAATGTGTTTCTGTTGTGCTTTGAATGCAGTAACCAAGTAGAAGTGTTAAAATGGTCATTATAATCTATTTTTAAATAACCTGAGCTAGACAAAACATGGACAGACATGTTTTGTCTATGTAGCCAAATTCTGAAAACAAACGAACCCCGTTTCTGTTTTCTTTCTGCTGTCATATAGGGTAATGTTTAAGATTAAATCGGTTATGTTCAGCTAACAATGTATTGTAGGCTATTTAATAATATATGGATAAATATACTCAAATTTAGACTGTGTTTGTGTGAGCCATACATAACAGTGCATAGAATTTACATATCACTTGTTTAAGGCTTGAATGATTGGCATAAAGAACAATACAGGGAATGAATAGTTGGTGGTATCCAAAGAAAATTCCAAAGAAAACCTACATGATTTCCTTCAACCTTAACTATGAGTTTTATTTTCCTGTTTATTTAGGCCCATATAAAGTGAATATGATATAAAAATCATGGTAGGAATGACACAATCTTTTAAGGTGTGAAATCATAATGAGATCTTGAGCCCTGAAAGAACATAACTCCCTTAAAAGCTGAGACAGGCAAGGAACTTCAGATAAAATAATGCCGCAGCAAAACTGCAGTAATAAATGAGCATTTGTCAAAAAATATCCACTGGAAGACTTTCCATCTCCTTCAGGACTTATTTTTAGGCATTTCAATTCTCAAGAAAAATCAGGACTCCAAAATGAAGTCTTTTCTATTTTTAACCCGCCTATGATGCAACAAGACTTAAGAAAAGAGGCCAATTATTAGATTTCTGACAACTCACAGAAATAAACCTCACTTGTTTGCATCAGTTTCTAAGGATTCAATTCAATGTCTGGAGCCAGAATAAGCAAGTGTATGAAATACTTCCATAAGACAGAAGTACAAAGTCATCTTAAATGGAGTTACTTTAATGCCAACCACAGAGCTCCATAGCCCCGTCTTCATCAAACCGAATTAAATAAAGCAGTGGTGTTAGTGCCCTGGGCCGTCCAGCAGGGATACATAGAAAGGTCATCGCTACAGCTACTCAATTGCTTGGCCTTAGGCAAAGGAAAATGATGAAATAGTGTCTTTCTCTTCCTCTCTCCCAGAAACACGGGCAGTGAGAAGAAAAAACAATACTACAAAAATAACAAGAGACCTAAACCATTCAATAGAGATTCAAGAGATTCAGGACTTCTTACATAAAGTACACTGAAATGTTTACCTTATGAAAAAAGTTTTTACACTTATTTCAGATAAAGACACCAGTCAAATTAGCAGTCTGTGCTATGTGATGCATGTTGGAGCAGGTTACTACATGGCTTACCTTGGTTACCCTCCATTCCAAACTTTAACTAACATAAATAATTAACAAATTGATTAATTAATCATGCAGGACTAATTGAATAGAACATTTTCACAATGACGTGGACACTTGAAAACCTTCTGCGTGATGCTACTCAACTGAAAACAAAAAAATGAATAAGTACACCTTTAAAAGGGGAACTATGCTTGATTTTACAATATGAAACACAAGTTTCAGATGTCCCAGAAAGTTGCAGCTCAATATACCAAACGAAATGCTAATAAAATTCAAATTTAACTTTTCAAATGTACTGAAATAACATCACATTTTAAAAACAAGACTTCATACAGCAACAATAAGAACCTAAAGTAAATGATAATAATGCAATTTTAGATTTCTGAATATAAAATATTACGACCCACTGGTTTAAAAAAAGAGTTCAAACAACAAAACAATCTTAATGCAAATTATTTATTGTAAATGAAACTAATAGAACAACAATAAAGCACAACTAACAAATGTCTGGAGATAAATAACGGTAAGAGCTTAAGATTTAATCACAGCAAAACTTTGACTACATGATATAAACAATGCAAAACAAAACCATAAGGTTAAGGAGTCAAAGAGATGGCAGGTCTTGACATGAGGATGTCCAGATAGCCACACCATCCTTGGAAAGCTAGTACAACTCTTATTTATATGCATTGAACCAAATAGTGATCTGCCAATCAGGATCTACCACATAATCTAATCAGGAATCTTGGGATTGTCACAAAAAGTACAGTGCTTAGCTTTATTTTGTCACTTTCCAAACTGCATGCAGAATAAACAAAACTAAAAGAATTAATAATCCTATTCACTATTTTATTGGCTGCAATGAGCCTGCTATGTAGTACACATCGTTCTCAAATGAGTTTGTAGGCTCTGATACTGCCACTCTAAAGCCATGTTCAATATTACGATGAGATCTTTATTTTATTTTCAGTAAACCAACAGCATTTTCCTTTTCACTCAATGCCAAACTTTTATACCTGCTACCGCT